ACCAGCAAGATACAGGACTAAAAGGACCATTTGGAAGTGATTATAAGTAGGTTGTGTGAGTTAAAATCAGTGGGTCAGAAAAAGCCATAATAACAGTAATAATGAGAATGGTAAAAATTAACGAAAAACAAAACACCCAATTCAGAGAAGAGTCTCTTTTCGGCTAATTCAGTCACTTAGCTGTACAGTCGCAACTCTATATTGCAGGTTATAATTATATGATTACTTTTGTATGTCAAATATTGGTTTTGTAGGGATTTTGTTTGATTGGTTGGAGGATTTCCTCTTGAGCTGACATCAGTTACAGAACTATTGGAAAACCTGGGAGTGCTGGACGGCTGTCTCGTCTTCAGCAGTACGCACCCACCACCAGTGTTCAAACCCATGACCTTCTGGTTACAAGGCGAGCTAGCTCGTAGACCATTAAGTCACTGGGACCCAATCCAATGGCGCATGAATTCAACTTCTGACAATTGAAAAGTAAATATGTCTTCGCTCAATCTTTCTGTTTTCTAAATGTCTATATGGGGATTTTTTCTATATTGTAGGGATTTGTCTGACTGGTTGGAGGATTTCATCATGAGCTGACATCAGTATGTGTGTACACTAGCTTTGTCAGGCAAGAATAAAAATTAGTTAGGGTTGTTGTCTAAGTTATCAAAATATTTTTTTTTAAAATGTGATGAATAATCAGACTGTAATTGGGGTGTGTGTGTGGAGATTAGTATGAGGGTAGTGGTCATGAGTTGCCAGAAGTTAGTTGTTGATATTAGTCAATGCATAAAAGAAGTTGAATAGGTGTATTGCAATTGCGTCATAAGATGAATAATTTAATGAGTAAGTTTTGATTAAGATTTACATGGAGATGAAGGAAGATATGGATTTATGCAAGAGATGTGAAGAAATACAAGAGTTATAAGGAGCTAGAAAAGCAGACTCACAGACATCAGGTCAATAGAAATCAACACGGTTGTTGTCATGATAGTGGAAGTGGTTGGATGATTTTCTTTTGTATATATAGATCTGGCTTTTCTAACTGAATGGATAAGGCTTCATCAATACAAAGGAGACGAAAACGCATTGCCTTTGGCAGGTTATTCTTGACTCTGAAGATTACTTTGAAGAAGGAGGCGTTTATTGAGATGGAATGGCTAGTGTTGTCAAGGAGTTCGACTATTGCACTGCTTATACAACCACTACTACCTTTATACAACCATGCAGGAGAGTGTTCTTAAACCGCTTTAGACAGGATACGAATCGAACGACCAATATACCTGACTTCATGGTAACAAGTGAACTGATATGTACATACAGAAGTGGTCAGATGCGAGATCTTGTCCTTAAGTCTTCTGCAGACCAGTGGGAAACTGCAACAGACTTCTCTTAGTGTTGCTGCGAAGAATGTTCTTTTTCTCAAAGATGCTGAAATTCTTCTCTGGAGGATATTGTAGACTAAGTCTCCCTTGAAATCGAGATTCATGTAAAGTATCTTCTTTGAGACTAGTGATGTTTCGCTCCTCTTGACCTTCGGTTTGTTGATGAATCTTGGCGAGTATCCATTTTGGATGAAAGTTTCTTTCAGAAGATCCAGTTCTGCTTCCAGGGTATGAAGACTGCAGATGCGTTGGAATTTAATTCTTGTCTGACAAAGCTAATGTACACACACTGCGATTGTACAGCTAAGTGAATGAATTCGCCGAAAAGAGATTCTTCTCTCAAGTAGATGTTTTGTTTTGTATTAATGTCTATATGGGGATCATTCATGAATGGTCAAAATATTTTAAAAATCAATAGAAACAAACAGAATTGCATTATTATGTAATAGGTGAAAAAAATTGTTAGCAGAGTTAACAAAACTTAATTTCTATTCTTTTCTGTATTTCCAAGTTACTTGATGGCAGTGGATCCAGTAAAAAAGAAATAGAATTGTATTTCTTTGTTTGTTGATCTGATTCGAAGTGAGCTGATGGTGTTGGTAAAGACTTGAAGATCTTTGAGTCACAGTGTGGTGAGAGCTGGCTGCTAGCCAAATTGGTAGACAGTAATTTACGTCAATGTTTACGTCCCCAATATTGGTCGTGAGAAAATAAGAACAAAGACTGATTCAACGACCAATCACAGCAGACTTTGCGTAGGCGGATACAGTTGACAGATAGATAATCTGAACTTCAATAAACGGTCACAAAGAGAAAGATTAACGTTCAACGAGAAACCACCAATCAGTAGACTGTGTTTGTTTGCTTAAATAATCTATAATATTGTGCATAAAAATCTATAAATATGTGTTAATAATAATAATAATAATAATAATTTTCAAGTGTTGGTTTGTAGGGATTTGATTGGTTACAGGATTTCATCATGAGCTGACATCAGTTAGAGAACCATTGGAAAACCTGGGAGTACTGGACAGCTGTTTCGTCCTAGTTTGGGACTCTTCATCAGTACGCACCCACACTGCGGGGTTGGAACCCAGGACCTTCTGGTTACAAGGCGAGCTCGTATACCATTAAGCCACTGGGACCCGATCCAATGGCCAGTCCATGAATTCTCACTTCTGCCAATTCACGACATAGCGCGACCCCTAGCCAATGTCTTCGGCGAGTAATTTTCCTCACGCCCGACCGGCTGCACCCTACTGGTCACGACTTCTCACTAGAACCCCAGGTGACTACCCACCTGAATAGGGCAATGATAATAATAATAGTTTGCTTTATTCCAAAACAGTACTTGTGATACAAAATGGAATTCTCGGCATTTTACTACAGTATTGCATCCAGTTAATACATTAACAATAAATAAAATTCTACATAGATTAAGGTTAATCTCGGTTAGATTTTGACAACAACATATTAGCATGTCGATAGTAAAGCCAAAATTGAACAGAGTGTTTGAAGGTGTTAGAAAAGTAGATACTAGCATATTTACTGGCGTAAGCGGTAAAAAAAGATCAAGACATACAGAGTATGAAAGAACGAAGAATGTTTTAAATAGAGTTTGTAGGGAAGAGAGAAACAAAGCAGCACATAACAATAAAAAAAGAGAAAAGGAAAAGGAAGAAAGAAAACATTGTACCTATAAATGATATGAGTTGGAAAGACGAGATCCAGTTGTTCTACTGATTTCCTAAATAAATGATCTGTTGCCTGGCCCTTGTCTTCTGTTGTTATATATATAATTGAACTATTTCATTTTATCTGATGTTCTCACATATTTTATATGGTAATCAAAACTAACAGACAGACTATTCTTCCATCTTCTACTTGTACCACATGTGTAACACCTTTTCTCACATAATTCTAATTCCTCACTGTCTGGAACCGCTTTATGCTAAAATTAATGCATTTATAATTGTAGAGTCTGAGGATGAAAGAATTTATTGAAAACAATTCTTCGCTCTAATTATTTTTCTTCTGAATAAATTATGAGAATATTCTAGTAATCAATTTAGTTGGGAAACATTTTGGTTTCCTGAACGTTCAGAAAAATTCAATTGGTGGATGGCAGTGGAATCCAGGATGCGCATTTTGTCCTATTTGGGACTCGTCACTGGATGTACCTGCATTCCTCAGTGAGTGATGATGTTCCCACAGAGGCTCGAACCCAGTGCCTATAGTTTCAAACGCCAAAGCGTTATCCACTAGACCACTTGGGCCACGAGAGCCACCTCTTGTGCAACGGGTCATATTAATTATTTAATTCAATTTTAGATTTTCCCGTCGATTGATTGGACCGAAGTGCTCGGCCTCAGGTTGACATGTCGGCTTCTTGTGCAGATGCTCTGACGATGTCTGGGTATTTAATTAGTATTTAATTGGTGGATGGTGACTAGCAGTGGAATCCAGGAAGCGCATTTCGTCCTATTTGGGACACGTCATCTGGAAAAATCTTGTTTTGATTTTCTTAACATACTGGAATTAGTTTAAATAATTTATAATCATTCATATGAATTATTATAATTTGTATGATTTGTTGCACAATGGGCATACTTTTTAATGACATCAACAAATTGGGTAGTATAATCTTATGATTTCCTCAATCAGAGAGATATAAATAACTACGCATTAACGCATAATCGACTTGGGATTGGAATCATGCTAGGCCGTATACGTGATCTCAATCAGTTAACAAACTTTACAGACTGTGATAGGTTCAGTTTGGTTTTTCGTGTATGTTGTTCAACCCCGTCATGACCCTGATATCCTAGATCCCACCTCTAGTCATCAGGATCACCACATCACATCTCTATTCTCCATTTTGAGTTGTCAACCCATTTCTCACTCACATAAGAGGTCAGACTCTGTAGTAAGGATATTGAAAAGCTAGAGAACTCTAGGCAAATGCATTAGATTATTTCATTGAACATAATTTCCCACCAATAGAATCCCAATAAAATCTATTCGTCAGGCCTTGATTGATTGACCACTACTACTATTACTAATAATAATAATAGTCATCCAATCAAATGTTTGAAAGGGGAAGGGAAATAAGATTTCCTATTGGCGTTTAACATGTAAAAAATCAGACCTTACAATTTCCAGTGACCTTGATGATGTGAAAGACATGCGCTTAGATGATTATTTACGTCTTTTAGTTGAATAGATTAACAAACGGACAACATTAGCCCGTCTCTGTGTGTATAACAATGAAACCGATAGAAAAGGGATTTATGCTTGTTCCATACTTATTTTAAGGATATTGTTTGATTTGGTAGACTGGGGACTTGAGGATTTTTATATCATAAATTGTCTTACATATACATATTGTTTTTTTTTCTAGTGTATATCTATTTTACACAGGAGTCACATTAATTTACCTCGGAATGGATGTTTATTATCACTGTACAACAGCATTACGTACTACTCATTAATAATAACTCCAGTAGCAGTAGTACTCAATTGTACTTCTATCAGTAGTAGTCACACTGTGTAAATATTTCATTTCAATGGATTCCAATTCTGGATAGCACATTCGTGCATCGGAACTAGGATTTCACAATTACAATGAACATTGTACGAAATAATCAACTCGCATTTAAACAAAAGCCTTATTCAATATTCATTATTTATTCTCTGGTATACTGTTTCATAATAACAGCATTATCGAGCAGCAGCACCGCCACCAGCAGTAGCAGTTTAGTCATCCATGAAGAGAAACTGTTACGTCAATTTGTAAGTTTCATTCAATCTACATCGCATAACTCCAATGCGTGTTCAATAAATCCACGTAAATCGAATTCGCTATCCAATACTATCAATTTAAATGAAACATTCCATCCAATATTTCATAGTGTCATAACTCAAAAGAGTTTAACAAAAAATTTCTTACATGATATATATAAATGTATTGAAATTGTGAGAACTTTTAATCGTTGGTATTATCAATCTACTCCAGAGAATTCGATAACACCACCGTCTGTACAACATTCCAAAGCAAAATTAGAAGAATACTTGATCAATTTACTACATTTAAGTAGACCAGTTAGAATTCATAATGCTGAATCACTTATCATGAGGAATTTAAACCTTAAACCTGCTAATAATGGAACTACTACCAGTCGATATGATCAAATTGGTTTTTTAAATTATAATCATTCTAACCTATTGGGTATTGGTTATTGCCGTAATAGTCTATTAATAGCTTATGTAAATAATTATACGTCTACTCGTATCAGTAATAGTAATGCTTATCCTGTACATTTAAACGAAATTTGCAGCCAATTTCGAACCAGTATTCAAGCATTCAATAATCATGAGGATACAATTAGTTTTAGTGATTTTCAATATGGGAAATTTTCATCCTTTTGGGCACCAGTTAAATGTGATAGTAACTCATTTATGCCAATTGTATTAAGATATTTTATATATACCACAGAAATGAGGTGAGTTTTGGTGTGTCTTATATTATTTTATCAATTTGATATAGTTTTTATTTTGGTTGGTGGTGGTGACTAGCAGTCGAAACCAGGATGCACCTTACGTCCTACTTAGAACTGTCACGTCAACTGGGTGTAACTGCATGTTGTCCAGTAATGATGTTCTCACTGAGACTCGAAATCGGGGCAAAGTTCAACAATAGCGTTCCAGGAGTGCGAACGCACGAGTGACCTTCGACTGACCAATCATGAAAATGAGGAATGTTTGCTCAAAAATGATGTATATTGACAGGGAAACGCATTAAACAGGTTATCTTTCTGTGACATGGCTTAAAAATACGTCTTAGTTGTAAGGAGGAATATCAATTGCTGAGTTAGACTAGTTTCTGTACATGTATTCACCGAGATGACTACAGGTAAACTGTTTTTGTGAATCGTTTATCCCTCTCATCCTGCTAGCAGTCTACCAGAAAAGTCCTCGGTTGAATTCATATGGTTTCCAGCAAGAGGATAGACGACTACTTACCAGGAAAACGTGGATAATAAAAAACATTAAAATAAATGACATCAGCAGTAAATCTATCCCTAATCGTAACCCTAAGCTTAATCCTGACCCTAACACTAAACCTAACCTTAATCCTAACCCTAATCATAACCCTTATTCAAACCGTAATTCTAACCCAAATGCTAATCATAACCCTGATCCTAACCCTAACCCCAATACCTACCTTAACCCTAATCCTAACCCTAACGAGCTGTTAACACATTGTCCAAACAGTACTTAAAAACATGATCTGGGTCAAATTTGCTTCTAAGTTGGTGAATAGCGATGATATTTCAGCTGTGATAATGATAGATGCCGTTCAAGGTCATTGGAGCGTTCACATTCCTGGGACGCTATTGCTGAACTTCACCGAAATCGGCATCCATGGTTTCAGACGCCAAAGTGTTACCCACTAGATCACGAAGGTCATATAAGCCACCTTTTGTGCAATGGGTTTTCGTGATGATCTGCATTTATACTAGCTTTACATTTCCCGTTTATTGATTATGTTAGGTCAATCTGTTGACAAGTTGACTCCTAGCAATGATATTTCAGCGGTGTGTAATAATTTATTATGAAATTATTTTGGTTGGTGGTAAGTAGTAATGGAAGTAAGAATGGACATTTTGTCCTCTTTAATACTTGTCAACTGGGTGTATTAGCATTCTGTTGGTGAGTGGTGTATACATCTTTGTAAACACCCAAAGCTCAATGAATACGTACTTGGCATCGATAAGGCATCAACACAGACCGAGTGTTTCGGTCTAACTCAACCAGTTAACCGGAAATTCCCATACTCATGCATAAACGAAAGAGCACATGGAAACTAAGAAAAGTTTCTTTTTGACGAATCATTTGCAAATATCGGTCGGTCGGTCGGTCGGTTTTCGACATAGAACTTTGCACATATATGCGGCAGTTCAAGTCGCCACAATCTATGTAGCACGCAAAGCAAGAGAAGGAAGTAGAAGAAATGCATAATGGAAACAGTAAACAGAGGTGTGAGACAAAGGAATAGTAATAACGGAGAACAAAACAGCTTCATTGGAAATCATAAGTCACAAGGAGTGGATGCATCTGCGCCATCACTGAGAACGATTTTGAGCCATGTCACCAATTGTTTCCAACCATTGGTTTTTACCGTCCCGAGGACCCCAACCAGTCAGGAAGTCTACACCTTCCTACGTGGTTTAGACTAACTGTTGTAGATTTCATTGACTGGTGCCATGTTTTCGTTTGACCGCCGCTAGCTCTTTTCCAGCCTGGCCATATATCAGCTAACATTGCCTGTTGTCGAGGAAGGCGATGACTAGGCATACGTAGCACATGTCCTAACCATCTCAGTCGAAGTAATTTCACCGTTTCGTCGATTGATTTCCCCGCCTTACCTAGCACTCGACGCCTAACCTCAATATTGCTCACCTTATTATACCACTTCGCGTGGGAGATAGAACGCAGACACCTATGATCGAACACAGCTAATCTTTTCATGTCTTCTGCTCTCAATGGCCAGGTCTCACAGCCATAAAGGAGGACGGAGCGGACTGTTGAGCAGTACACACGCCCTTTGGTCGATAGTCGGATATCGCGTCTACGCCAGAGACGGCGAAAACTGGCGAATGCCAACCTAGCCCTCTGTATTCGTGCTGAAATTTCGTCGGAGATCAACCCGTTGGGGCTGATGGTACTTCCCAAGTAATTGAAGCGGTCAACGTGTTCTACCACTTCACTTCCTATTTCTAATCTAGAGGTCCAATCCTGCAGCATCATCTTACATTTTACAGGGGCGAATCGCATGCCAAACATACGGAGATTGTTGCTCAGGGTGTTCAGTAGACTCTGCATTTTGTCAGAGTCCTCGCCTAGAAGGACTATATCGTCCGCATATTCTAAGTCAACGAGATTATTCCCTGGTAGCAAGTCAATCCCTGAGTCGGTGAAGTGTGATAGGGTTAAATCCATTAGTACGTCTATGATGAAATTGAATAGGAATGGGGATAATGGGCATCCTTGACGGACGCCACTAGTCGTCACCACTTCAGATGACAACTCGCCATAAGCCCTCACCTGGCTGCATGAGTATGAGTAGAGTGCCTTAATAAGTGCAATGTATTTTCTTGGCATTCCCTTTACAGCCAAGCATCGCCAGAGAACCTCCCGGTCGACAGAATCGAAAGCCGCCTTTAGGTCAAGAAATATAACGATTGTCGGACGCCGGTAGGAATGCCTATGTTCTAGAATCTGTCGAAGGGTGAAGATGTGATCAATACACCCTCTACCTGGCCTAAAACCTGCCTGGTTTTCTCGTGTTTGTGTCTCCCGAGCACCACTTAGTCTACGCAGTATTATTGAGCCTAGGATTTTAGATACTATATTAGTCAAGCTAATCTCTCTGTGATTATCACAAGACGACTTGTCCCCCTTCTTGTATATCGGGATGATCAGTGACTTACACCAACCCGATGGGACTTCCTCTGATTCCCAGACGCTGCCTAGAACCTCCGTTAACGCAGACAGTAAACTGTCTCCTCCGTACTTAAATACCTCTGGAGTCAATAAATCAGGTCCCGCTGCTTATTTGCAAATATGCTGTGTGATTGTAGTAATGTTATTCTACCTGTGGTAGAGCAAGTGTAGGTCATACTTAGGAATGTAGTTATCTTTTTTATTTGTAATAACCAGTGATTTTGGTGTCTAAATGGCACTCTACTCGAACTCATGCAACGAGGTGAGAGCTAACGCCTAACTGTCATTTAAAGTGGTGTCTGTCAGGGATGCCGACTGTCCCCATTTTATCATAGATGTACTAATGAACTTAACCCTAAGTGATTTCAGCGACTCAGGGATTGACTTGTTATGAGGGAATAATCTCGTGGACTTAGGACATGCAGATGATATAGTCCTTCTAGGTGAAGACGCTGACGAAATGCGGAGTCTTCCGAACACCTTGAGCTGCAATCTGCGAATGTTCGGCATGCGGTTCGCTCTCGCCAAATGTAATATGATGCTACAAAACTGGACTACATTGACTCCTAGCTTAGATATAGGGAGTCAAGTGGTGGCTTAACGTGTTGATCACTGACGATATCTCAGCATAGATACAGAGGGCTAGTTTCGCATATGCCAGTTTACACCGTCTCTGGCGTAGACATGATATTCGGCTAGCTACCGATGAAAGGGCGTGTGTACTGCTCAGCAGTCCGCTCCATCCTCCTTTATGGTCAGCTGTGAGACATGGCCATTGAGAGTGGAAGATATGCAAAGACTAGCTGTTTTTGATCATAGGTGCCTGCGTCCTATCGCCAGGGTGAAGTGGTATAATAGAGTGAGCAATATTCAGGCTAGGCTTCAATCGAGTGTAAAGTAAGAATGGAAAATCAATTGACGAGGCTGTGAAGCTACACCGATCGAGATGGTTAGGACATGTGCCTCTCTAGCCGTCTCCTTTCTCGACGAGCAATGTTAGCTGACATAAGGTCAGGTTGGAAAAGAGCCAGTGGTGGCCAAACGAAAACATGGCTTAATCAGTCAATGAAATCCACAACAGTTAGTTTAAGTCACGTAGGAAGGTGTAAACTTCCTGGTTGGGGTCCTTGGGACGGTGAACACCAATGGCTGGAGACAATTGATGATATGGCTCAAAATCGTAGTCCTCAATAGCGGAGATGCATCTACTCCTTGTGACTTATAATACCCAATAAAACTATATTGTTCTTCCATACTACTACTCATATCTCTGTTTACTGCCTCCATTTTGCATTTACTTTTACTTTTGCTTTTGCTTTGTGTGCTACATGGAGTGGCAACTCGAACTGCTGCACATAGGTGCAAAGTTCTGTGTTGAAACCAGTCAGTCAGTCAGTCAAATAGCCTCCATAAAGTATTCTCGTGCGATATTAATTAACTCTGCCTTTGTGAAGAAATCAGGCAGCAGTCTCTAATGTTCAGAAACGACAAGCGGCTGGACAATACAACTTTTAATATTCTTCCATCCTCCTCTAGCTAATCATGCTGGATAGTGTTCAGAAATGCGTTGATGAACATCTATGTTCTAAAGCACTATGTCTAAATCATAACCTATTAAGAACATTAAATTTCCCACACTAGCTATGTTCATTTAGACTAATTAGTGATTTTTCTCACTTATTACGTAATTCCGTCTCATTTTTCTAATCCCCACTTTGTCATCCCTGTATAGATTGAACCCCTCATCACGTAGGATATTTCTCAGAACAAATCAGCGTTTGATTAGTTTTATGAATTATTTACTAAGTGTAAATACAATTGTACGTCGTCACTTGAAAATAATTCACCGAGAAGAAAGCTTTCCTCTCTAAAAACGTTTTCCTTTCTTCACTCATTGTCTTCTTATTGCTGTATTCTCAGAAGTGGTTGTCTTCTCTGCAAACGTTTTATTCCTAAGTCGACTGCTACACTAAGGCGCATCTTGCACTGTTGCACT